CTAACGACCTGGGCCCAGCGTGATACAACATTTCAGAAAAACATTACATTTACGGACTAAAGAAAATCGCTTAGTTATTGAGATCCAGAGGGCACTTTGGAGAAAAGTACGACCCTTATTCAGCCGCAATAAAAAGCTTTACGCTTCAAAAGAGGTCAAAGAAAATGCTCTTGCATCAGAGAGGGCAAATCCTGCCGACCAGAGACAAAAACCACGGTAAATCGATATGTATGCCATGACCTCTCAGTGTGAAACCAGCGGCTAAAACCATATTTGCTCAGTGAAAATGTAGAACCTTCCAGAGCATAATCTACCGAGCAGAGGAAAAAACTTATGGGAACAGGCAGCATTTTGGCGTGAGGTAAACGCCGTGTAGGCCTACCGCCCTCTTTTATTGCTATAAATGCGGGATAAATACCCAAAGGTGTAATTCCTGTCGGCGATCGAAGCGCTGTTGATTTCTTTGTACTTGTCTTTGGAGGTTCACGTTCTGGAGAAGTCATGATAGTATCTGTACCTTTCGCATTCCAAGTTCGCTCATTGCAGGGGCTTGTTGAATTAGAAACTGAACTAGCAAGACGAACGGCGCGATGAGCACAAGTTAAGCAGCTTAAATCGGAAAAGCTTTCTCCTTGCACAAGAGGAAATCTTGAGCAATCAAATGCTTGCGCTAGAACAACGCTGTCTTGGCCACTGTCAACCAGCAAGGTCTTATTTCTTGAAACGCCAACGACCGGCACCGTATTAATTCTCTTACCGGAGATCAACGATTTTTTTTGAAAATCGACAATTAGGCTCGCGGTCCCGTTTCACTTTGTTTTGAGACGAAGCAAAACACGGATGTTTTCCCTTTAATTTTCCCAGGAGTTACACACGCGCGAAATTGATTGACAGATAACGATCTTGCTGACAGATATTCGGCAAGATAATTACAAGAGGGCGGAATAGCGGCCTCAAACGTGTGTCTACAGGCTCTCTCCCCCCTTCCCTTCCCTTTCCTTGCTATTTTTTTCCCCAGACAGAGAGCCTGTTCACAGGCTAAGTGTTTTGTTATTTCCAAACGCGTGTTACGTGCCGACCGAAAAGCCGATGTCAATCAGACCTTTCAACAGTCAGTGTTCTCGCCAATAAGAACTTGCATCAGGATCTGATGCACAGCGGGTGCCGTGGAACGGCGGTCTCAAAGGCTTGTCCACAGGCCTTTTCGCTTTTCCCTCTCCCTAATTCCCCGCTCGACCAAAGGCCTGTTCACAGGCTAGTCTTTTCGAAATTACAAGGGCTTCAGCAATATTTTTTCGAAAAGTTTAGGTGCAATGTAAAGTTTTACGAAAGTGAGAATTTTTCTGATTCCTCTCTCCATCACAGTTTAGAATCCGAAAATTTTAGGTTTCTTCTTTCAAAGAAAAATAGTGTAACCTGGGTGGTAAAATATAAAAAAATAAAACTTCAGAAAATCGTAGGGAATTTATTTGAAAAGCTTCGAAAATTGTACATGAATGGAACGTCCATCTAGAAATTTTTAGCGGTCCTCAAGCAAAAGAAAATTCTAGGCAATATTTGCTTCTCCGAACGGATATTTTACAGAAAACAGTCGTTGGGTGCCCCTGCCAAATGTCTGCTCATGACGGTGTTCGTTTTATAGAGGTTTGTAATAATTGCGAAATGCTTGTTAACGATCAACATTCAACGGTTACTCTGTACTGTGATAAAGTTGCATATTGTTAAAGAAGTTATCCAGAGTTCAAATTCATTTCACGGACGTAATCCAATACTACTATTGTCAATTCAGTCCGATGTCAGCTTAATAGAGGTTTTTAACCATAGAAATTAGCCAAATACAACTTATTTTAGTGTCCGCGTCCGCTTAATAGAGATGTCCGCTGAATAGGGGCTCGATATAAAGGGAAATATCAGACGTTCGTTTCGGGACCAGGCTTAAAGCGCTTTCCATTCAACCCAAAATTCCGGAAATTTCGGTTGGTTCATCAAATGGTGTAGGAACGGACCATTTCGGTTTGGTGCGACCGGAATATTCGGGACCAGCTTTGAAGGTGGTCCACAGTGACCAGACGACCGAAATGTGCCTTTCCATTTGCCAAAATTGTTGTCCCCAGTACCGCTCTTTTGTATCCTGCTTACAAGAACAAGTGGTTTCCAGTGGAAAGTCAAGTACTGTGAGTAAAGCCATGACATCTCAAATAGTTTGAATCAGTTGCAATTTTTTTCGATTTTTGATATTTCCATTAACAGTGTCAAAAAACTGACACAACACGACACGTACGTGAAAAAAGTGTGTGTATAAAGTCCGTTAGAATCAGCGTATCATTTGTCTGAAACCTGTCCACGATATTTAATTAAAGCAATTTATCAATTAAGCTGAAATGAATACAACAAAGCCTGGCTGAATACAAATTTGACCAAAACACCGAGTTTATTCACCGTACAGTTCCAGGAATTGCTTCGAATCGTTCGAATATTCTGAGGAACGTATCGTTTCAATTCACGAGAATTTTTTACTTTCACTTACTTTCATAGGCTTTCTACGCGAAATAAGATTCCTCCGCCTTTAGTTTTCCACCGCCCTTTTTCGATAGTGTATCGCGGAGTTGAATCCCTCTGCAAGTTGTTGACCGCTACCAACAAACCAACCGCTACCAACAAACGAGTGCAAATCAAAATACTTTCCATCTTAAAACTGGTTTCATTTGAAAGTTTGGTCGGGAATGACTTCTCTGAACGGGGTACGCAAGCGACCGGCTCACTGCGAAAGAAACCTCAATCGCCAACTGTGAAGTATTAGACGAAAAATATCGCATCGCTGTTCAAGGAATTTTTGTTAACAGACTGGTTGTTTGCCTTCTCTTTTTGTAAAAAAAACCAGGAAAACTGGTGTCCTCGCTCGTTCGCTGTTTACTTTAGTTTTTAAAGATTTATGTACTGAAAATCGAGGAAACTTGCCGAGGACAATATTAAGGCAATAGAAAAATAGAAATTTCAGTATTTAAATTCGAGCGCACCTAGCCAAAATAATGAAACTAGTAAAACATCGTGTCGCCGTCTTTTCGAAAACTTTTTACTTTCTACGCCAACAGAAATAACCCTCGAGATCTCCCTTAATCTCGCAAGAAGTTAAATGTGATTGTGCTGAAAAAATTAACCGATAAAAGCTATTTTTTAAGTCAGCCAGTCTGCATTTTTCTTACGCGTGAAAACTGTGCATACTAGAAAAACAAGCAACGGAAGTAATTCTGGTTGGCTGATTCGGCAAATGTCAATCAATCAAAAAAGTAGGCGGCAGACGTTTCGTAGAAGGTTTGTATCAGGCTCTCTTTTCGTTTCGCCTTGCCCGACGGAATGTAATTTTCAAAGCGAAACGAAAATAGAGCCTGATCTCAGGTTAGGTTTCAGCTTGATAGAGGTTTCACTGTATTTGCGACCAAGAGAGGATAAGGTAGCTCATTCTCTCTTGGTGTTGCGACTCTATTTTGGACCACTCAAAACCGTGACAATTCTGGTAACCTTTCCCCGTTGACATGATGCCAATACCTACAAGTTAAATATAAAAACACGCAATTTTATACCCGACATAACATTTACAAATTAAGACAAAATTAGCGCACCAATCAAGTTCGATACGGGCTAAAGGTATTTTTTCCATTCAGATTACATTATTATAAATGTACTTTCAGTAAAAAATGAAAGACGACCTGAAGTAATCAAACTAAAATTATATCTAGCACTAGGCAAACATTTACTGGACAAAATGGAACGGAAGTATCTATCGCTACCAAGAGAAAAGTAATTAATGTCACGGTTTTCAAGGAAAGATTTCAGTCAGTTAAATTTCCATTACTAATACTGTACTGTTTAGTTTCCCATTACTTGAAAAAACGACTTCGAGGTAGTAATTGGCCGAAACCTGTAACTTATCAGTTTTGGCGTGGAAGACTAGAACGGGCTCTTTAACGAAGGGGATCCCATCTTCCCCGCGCGCATAACCCAAGCGTTTCCCTAGTAAATAATTAATGAGTAGAGACAACTTGAGACGACTGGGGACGAGTCAGTTTCCAGGGGTGTTACTAAAAAAAACAACAGTATTTATTTTGGCAAATGATATTAATTGTGATTGATAGTTTTCAGTAGTACTCCTTATTCTTCCGGACGACTCCCTGTTAAAACAGACCTTTCTCAGTTTATACCGCCATAATTAAAATATCTCAGATTAAACAGCTTAATAACCTTATGACTCTAGACGATAAATAAACTATGGTGCACATTTTCACCCAACACACTCTCCACTTTCTTCAGTTCTTCGCATGACATCATTGATTTTGGGAAAACGTGACCTTTTTGCGTCTTAAAAGGTTAACAACCATTGCACGATAATCAGTTGCAGAGTTGCTTCGAGAATAGCACGGAGTCGATGCCAATGGATGAAAATCCACCTTTGAGTAACTGATGGTTCTGTCATTTCACACTCTTCGACATGTTTTCACTTGGATATAAGGAATGTTCTCAAAGTAAAAAAATAACTGTTGTCCCTATAAAAGTTTACTTCATGCTAAACCATCGGCTAGTGTAAACACTGCTGTGCACGTCGGAGGTGTTTACGCCACAGACAAGCGTCGAAGAGTTGAACTTTACAGTGAAGAGGTTTCAAATAAACAGCTGTATCATCTGTATATTAAGTGCACTGATAATAGGAAGTCTGTGAAACATTCCTCTTCGTTTGAATCCATTCGGCTAAGTCTCTTGTCGTTGGGAGTGTCAGCACATTTGTCTTCCGTTCTTTGAGACAGCACTGCTCAGGTTTTTTTATTTAATGACCGCATGAGAAAATAAACCAACTGACATTCCGCTTCTATCTTAACATGAAACGTGTCAAAAGTGTCACTTGAAAGAGAAAAAAATTGCTAGCCATCTAAGTAATACTATGTAATACTCATTTAAGTGAAAGTCCGAATAATTTTTTTTAATCGTTTTATTTTCATCAGATTTTAATGTGGTTATTTGCCGTGACACTGATTTTCATAGGTCAACGTTCTGCAAGTGCAAGTAAGTATCAATATTAACGTGCTTTTAGGATCCAAATGGCTACTCTTTGAGAGTGTGCTAACCTTAGTGTGTGTTGGCATACAATTTGCACTGCACAACAGGAGGAAAAAAAAGTCGCCACAAACCAACTTAACAACGGTGTAATATAACTTTTATGAACGTAAGAGATAATGAGATTGTAGGTAAATACACTTTACAAATAAACTTTAAGGTGTATTACGTGTGAGATCTTGCGTGCAAGACATTAACTAAAGGAAGTATAACCTTGATGTGAAAAAATAGAATACAGTGATGAAGCACCAATAATGAGATTAAGCATTCAGGCTAAAGAACTCAGTTTTAATTAAAGCCGTCATTGTAGGTGCGGTATTTCGTTGAAACGTGGTCTGAAACGTTTGTTTACTCTTAAAACCAAAGAAAAACACGATTTTTTGAGTCGATAATTTGTAATACACCCGAATTTCTCATTTCATGTTTGAGCTATGTTTATTTACAGCCATATTTTTATCGCATCGTATCGTTCATTTAAAAAGCTGAAAGTGAACGCAAGGAAAAATAGGAGACGGTTAGGGATAATTTAGCAGCATTACAAAGCGCCCACGTCTGGTTATCAGCGTTTCCGTCGCATATACCGACGCATACGCGAGTTTAAAGACAGCTTACAAGTAAAAATTCAGTGGTTATTACTTGGATCCAAATAATAATGTATCTGTTGTTTTGTAGACATGTAATTGAGAAGCGTCTTGGCCTTGCTAATCCAGATAAAAATCTTAACGTCACGTTCAGCCTACTCTGCAAGCTCGTTTTATTTTAGCTTTTGCATCTGACTTTAGCTTTTATCATGCTACTCGGAGCCACCATTACTCTATACGATTAGGTCCATGGGGTAACTCTCAAATATAAGTCCTATTTGTGTGATATTATACTAACGTACATATTGTTTCTAAGCATCAGAATGTAGCAGCGAATTTGGAATGCAAGACAAAAGAATCCCAGATAATGGTATTACGTCATCGTCTGAGCTAAGCGCCAATCACGCACCTGCATTTGCTCGGCTGGATGGACCGAGAGCCTGGTGCTCAGCTCCGGGAGATAAATCACCGTATATACAAATAACTTGGGACGACGAAAACCTTATAACAGCGATAACAACCCAGGGAAGTTCACGCGATTCTAGTTGGGCCAGAAATTTTGAAGTTACATACACGAGAGACGAAAAATGGACATCGTACGGAAAGGTAACTTTTTCTGAAAGCTACCAGTGATGTTTTTACCAGCATTATAAAGTTACTGTCGACGTAACAAACAAAACCACTTTTTTTTTTCATAATGACTACTTTGTCATTACCATTCACATTGAAGGGAACAAAACGCAAGCAAATGGCGAAACGATGTGATAATCACCATTACGGTGTTGATGCTTGCGGTTTAGATTTCTGACATCTCGTTGGCTCTTTTCGGAACATAACAACATTCTTTACATATATCTTGTATTCTATTCCCGTGGAGCCTAAACTACTGCTGAGTTTAAACACACAAACCCAAAACTGAGAAAATATCGCGACTACGGTGTCACTTGCAAATATTTGATGACACATTACAAATACATTCATTATTACAAGTTTTATCGCTATTAAAAACAAAGCTCCATAATTTTTTTTGCTAACATAGCTATTACTGAGCTAGGAATATAAACATAGGCCTTTTTTTCTGTTTACAGCTACTTAAAGGTAATCGAAACAGCAGATCCTTGAAAAAGAATGTCTTCAAGCCACCAATTAGGACACGATCAATCAGGATATACCCAAAAGACCCGTTTAGGTTTTTGATGGTTCCTGTGGTTCCTTGTCTTAGATTGGAGCTCTATGGATGTTCTGCTCCAGGTAGGTAAAGATGGCGAACTTCAAAACAGTGGCGTGGATTAAGAAATTGTGAAATTCGTGTGCTAAAGGGCGCGAATTCAATTCATCTAGTCAGCCGTCAGCGATGATGATGGCCGCGTCTTTTGAAGCTGGCTAGTTGAGTGTTATTTGTTGCTTTTTTTGTGTCTTTAAATAATTTAGTTTTTCGTTTAAGAGCTTCTGTTGGTGTCTTTTATCTGAATATGATTTTCCTTTCTATTCGCAATAAATCATCGAAAATCCTGTTCAAAAAGGCACTGACAAAATAATTGACTTGTTTGCGTGTGTGTGTGGGTGCGTGCGTGCGTGTTTGTGTTTTAATGAATAACAAAGCTATAATAGAATAAAGTCAATCTTGTTTAAGGGCCATAATTAGTTTCACTATAATGTGCCCTTCTCCAGTCTAATTTTTTTTTTCTTATGTCGCTGGTAGTTTAAACAACCTTGTACTAATTAATATTGTACAACTGATGTATTATCTATAGGATAGAGTAAAAATAAAATACAAATACAAATACAAGAATTCAAGTCAGCTTTTGAATGACGTGATAATTTCAGAATTTTTGCCGATTATTTAGCCATGAGTTATGATCTACACACACCACAAATTCAAACTGCAGAATTAAAAAAAAACAACAACAACAACAACAAAATACAAAAGAAAAAACAAACGAAACCGAAACAAATAAAATAACTTAATCATAGGATTTACTTGGTGCCGCGTGTGTTAATCCCAGAAGCTTCCTGTTTGTGATTCAGACTTACTGCTGTTGGTTACTAGACGCTAATCAGCAGTTACTCTCATCCAGACAGAAAGAGCAGCTGAGCTCTTCTTCTATCGTCTTTTTTACTTAGGCCCATCAAACTATCGTGGGCATGTTATGACAATGATAACGTGTTTACTTTTTTGACTTCTCGTTTCATCTTTAGCATCTTGTCATCCACTACAAACCCTTAGGAATGGAAAAATACACAACAATGGCAATGAAAATGGAGCATTAGTCTCTTTTTCATGTAACGAGGGATTTACATTGCAAGGTTTGAGGCAGATCAAATGTGTTCAAGGAAAATGGAATGGCAGTATTCCAACTTGTGAAGGTTTGAGATATGACTAGACCACAGAGTTTTTGGTGAAATATTTCTTCTTCAAGGAAATATACGTAAGCTACATATTCTTCTTTTTTTAAATAAATAAATAGAACATTTTCGTTCTCTTTCTTGCCCAAAGGCAATTGCAAGAATCCAGAACCTTTCAAAAATGGTTCCATCAGCGGAGAGGATTACAGTTCTGGATCGTCCATTCAATTTCGATGCAACGTTGGTTACGAACTGCTTGGGTCAGAAATAATATCTTGCGTAAAAGGAACATGGAATGAGACTACCCCTGAATGCAAACGTAAGTTGCCGGCAGATAAGTATTTTGTGGGTACAGCTTAATGTAGCACAATAACCCAGCACCCAGCCATCCCACAAGATTGGTTAGTAAGCTAGGGGATTTCTCGGTCTTCGAGAATTCGGTCAACTGGTTCACTGAAAGTTTTGTAAATCTGTTTTAAGGGTAGTTTTTAAACTAAAAGGGTTATAATCGTTGAGAGATTTAAGAAAAAGAGTTACGGATCTTATTATTTCAAAAGTAGATTGACTTTGATCGTTCAAGTGAACCTAGTCCTGAATAGGACTGTTGTTGTTGACAGTGACTGACGTTTCGACAACCTATGCGGTAGTCATCTTCAGAGTCAAAGCGAGTTGTACCACGTCAGTTGATGGTATTATACTCTGGTTATTGATCCGTGATTGGTCAATTAATTGGTCAGTTAAGCCTTGATGTTATTTGCTATGAAGACTCGTAATCAGTAATTGGTGCGTTTCGATCCGTCTATTGTCACAGTTAAACAGTCGTCTATTGTTAGTCAAATTGTCAGTTCTCCAGTCGTTCTCTTGTAGTTAGTTTTGCTTGATCTCGTCAATAAGTCGTTTGTACGGCGCTGGTAACTGTTGGCTACGATTCAGTGGCGTTTGTTCTAAGTTAGTAAACCAGCTTTCTAAAGTAAGACGTTGATAGTAGTCTGTAGAATACGTTATCCATGTCGCAGAGTCCCAGCCAAGTTGATGTTTCGTCTTTAAATGGTGCTCCAGAATGTGATTGTTGACGTCACCATTCCTCGTCGCGCGTTTGCGTTCGGTCAGTCAGTTATCCAAGTTGTAGTCTTGATATCCCCCAGTCTTGAATTTCTACTATAGTTTATCTGATATATAAACGACAAATAAAGGTTAAAAAATTGACTTCCCTGAAAATATTACAGCTGTTGAATGTGGTGATCCTGGCAAACCAAAAAATGGAGAGCAGATTGTCAAGAAAGGCTACGTCTATGGTGGATCAGTCAAGTTTGTATGTGACAACAATTACACTCTAGTGGGGGCTGATGTTATATATTGTCAAGCTAATAGGAGTTGGAGTTCCGCTGTTCCACGTTGCTTAGGTAAGTGCCATGGGTAAGAGAAAATAAACGACATTAATCCCGCTAACTAATTTTGTCAAATAGTTCTTAATAGTAAAAAACGACAGTTCAATTTTTGGTCGTTAAACCATGATCTATACATAAATTAGCAGTAGCAATATTGTAGCTTTTAAACGACAAAAGTTCGTAACAATAGACAAGAAAAGTTCGTCGCGTTGTATGAAAAAGTTAACTTATCGTCACACGGAATAAAACGTTTAACCCTAATCTGACCATGATTTTTCCCTTTTCTGGCTTCCTAAGACAGGGGATGTAAATGTAACAGTAAAAAAAAAAAACTGCTGATAATTAAGAGCGACTGTCTGTAAATATCGACCAAAATCGACTTTTTGTGGCACAAGTTCAAAATTCGAATTTCGCTCATTTTTGGCTCATCGATAACCCTTAATGAGTAATGAAACATGCTGTAGTTAGTTTTCCCAAATAACGTATTCTTTTGCTTAAATTCGAGAAAACGCATTTTGCCCGTTTGGAGCTCAAAATCCACTTCCGGTAAAGCGAAATTTTACACAAATTCAATTGACTCGTACGTCAAACCACAACGATTTGGCAGCCTTTGTAGATCACGAATAGTTTTTATGACCCTTTCTTTCTTCTAAGACGATAAATTTGTGAAAGCTGTAATAAGTTTGTGGCCAAAAAGGTATTGTTAAAAATAGGCTCTATTGACAATTTCTACCGTTCAAAATTATAGGGTTAAAATAATGTAAATTTTTACAATGCGCTATAACTTAGAATTTCGCAAATTGACTTTCTACGGCTTAACTAGGCCCCAATCTATCAGAAAATCGAAACAAATCTCTGGGCAAACGATTTTAAGTAGCCCGCAAGACGCCGATTTCAACCCTAATTTTGCGAAAAATTGCGACATTCCAGTGGTTAAAAATAGCGTGACACGGCCCGTCACGCCAGCGGTGTTAACGACAGATTCACTTTCAACATTCTATTCAACGCTGATCACATGCCAAATTCCAGCATACAATCTATATTACATCTTTCAATACACTTATCTTATTTAGAAGAGTCATTTTGTTTGGATACAATATATAGTGTAGAATTGCCCAAAAGTCGGCGTTTTTGAGCGACGTCGGCAAGACGTCGACGACCGAGCCCAACGAAAACAAACTTTGAACAAGTACAGTGGTGTGTTTTATTAATTTAAGCATGCGTCAAAAGGCATAAATACGTTAAATTTAAGACAGGGATAACCAATATTAACTAATTAGAACTCTTTTTTTTTCTTGCGAGTTTTCTCTTTCAAGTAATTATGTATAAGTATAAATGCACGTTTCGATGTATTACTATCACGCTTATAAAGTTACATTGTAACGAACGTTTCAGAAAACATTTTAACTCGTTTCGATCGACGATAAAACACCATCATCAAAAACAAATCCCCAAAAACTTTCCTCTGCAGCAAAACGAAAAATAGAAAAAAAAGTGTCGTTTTACTAATGCTAAAGCAGGGATAGTTGCAGTGTGATCATGAGCTTTTAAAAATGGCAAATGCTCCTAAATGGACATCTATAGATCCCTTGCATCGCCATTGGAAAAAAACTCTCTGGCCCACTATGAACTAGCCTATTCCAGGCGTAGTGGACAGTGGACATTGGATAGTGGATAGTGGATAGTGGACAGTGGCGCGAAATGGGGAACGGAGGAAAACAAACGTGGAAGAGAGTAAGAGGGAGAGAGTAGGAGGACCTTTCGCCCTCTCTCCCTAACCCCGCTCCTTCGCCATTTTTTCTAACCCACTTTTCTTTGCGTTTTCCCAACTACCTTAAGGCCTGTTACAGGTTAACTACGTCCTTCATTTACAAATTTTTATGGTATATACCGTATTTATTCGATTAACCACCCTGGGCGCTTATTAAATTTTTGGACCTTGAGAGTGGGCGCTTATTCGAGGTGGGTGCTTATTCGAGGCTGGGCACTTATTAAATTTTCGCCATTCTCAGCAAGTGTAGTATGTTAGTTTTGCAGCAAAACAATAAATGGTAATAACAAAAAGCGGAAATGTAACAAAGCAAGGTTTCTGTAAAATGCTCTGAAGAAAACTCCGTCTTCGGGAGGGTCTCTTTATTACTTATTATCTCTTATTTGAGTTTGTGTGGGAGGGAGTGGGGTGGGGGTGGTCGCTTATTAACTTTGCTGCCTTTAGGATGGGCGCTTATTCGAGGTGAGCGCCAATTCGAGGTTGGGCGCTTATTCGAATAAATACGGTATTTAACTTGAGCGTCGAGCACTTTTGGCGCTTTGTTATTGATCAGCAGAAACGGATTTGTTAGTACTAACTTTTTAACTGCTTTTAAACTGCGAAACTTTTTTTCTTTCTTGTTTTCTTTCTTTTATTTTTTCTTTGTCATTTTCTATTGTATTTTTAGACTTATTTTTCGATTCTATCCCCAGTCTCACTCACCTCTCCCCTCCCCCGCCGTGCCCCCTCTGCTCCAGACAAGAGGGATCGACCATTTTGTTTTGCTCCAGACCATTACCTCGACTATTCCGCCTTCTTGGCTTACGCAAAAAGTACGGGCTGCTTTGTGGCCTGAAAGACTTTGCACTGATTGACGTTTTAGTGTCATGGAAACTCTAGCTGTAATACTGAACTGCAGATGACAGGTTAAAAGACTGAAAGTTCCTTTCAACAGCGTTTTTAAAGAGAACATCGTCTTTTCGGCCAAAAAAAAAAAAAAAAAAAAAAAAAGGGAAACAAAATAGAGTATAATACTAAACCTAAGAAGAACCTTGTAACGAACGAATGGCAACACCTAAAAAGGAAAGACAGACTTGAGGACTTTCCTCATCCTCCGTAACCTTAGTCCATGAAACTTAGGCACCCAAGCAGGCCTCCAAAACCTTACCCTTGTCTTTCTCACAAACCGAATACTAGAAGCTGAAAGCCTTAGTCCGCTTTACGTAAGTACCGTGTAGATCTTCAGAAGAATTGTTTGCAGCCGGCCCTCAAAACCCCAAGAGACTTCGCCTGCTGCTGGTCAATATATAAGACGGCTATTCCAAAGAACTGCTCCAAAAAAACTATTTTTCTTAACATTTGTCTGGGGTAGAGGAATAGCGAGTTTTCTGTTGGTGTCTCTTAATAAGTAATTAGAGATATTGCAACGATCTGCCCTTGCTACGATCTATTATGCACTTAACAAGGTCCCTCAAAGTACTCAAGATATATGACGCATAGTCTGCGATACACCCGCCTCTCACTGCTCTTTGACGAAATGTCTCCGGCGGCAGATAGCGATGAGAGGAAGCTTTATCGCAGGCTCTTGGCATCAAGGCTTTCTACTATTTACATTGGTAAACAGGTCGCTTCACGGTTTGGGCAAATGGTGAGGAAATTCAGGACCGATTAATTTTGAGTCCCTTCGGTAATCGCGTTTACCATTTTCGTAAGTCAGTTTCGTTTAATGTAAAAGGGCCGCAAAAGCCTGAAACTAAGCCTGGAAGTTTCCAACCAAGAAAATAGGCGATTGCCTTTTCAGACGTTCGTTTGTGTCAGGAATTTTCTACTGAAACGTCGAAAGCAACCCGAAACTGAGTTTATGGTAAGCCTGGCAAAGCACCAAAGAGTCCTCTTAGTTTGTTTTAATGGGTCATAGTCATGCAGTAGCTTCATGATTCATACACGTTGTCATACAAGTATATGCTCCTCTTGGGGCATCCATGTAGCTTTTTTTTTCAGTTTTGAGAGCCCGCAAGGGTAAAAACTTCGAAAAGAACTATTGCACCAATACTTAGTCTAAAATATTTTTTTCTTTAAAATTGCTTCAAGGAAATTAGTTTTTATAAACCAAATGGCATTGATTGGCAATGATTTAATTCGCAAATATCTCTCAATGCAAAAATTCATTCAGTAATCAGTTTTAGTTTTTAGATTTTGTTCTATTTATATACCATTTTTTGAGGGAAATCCCCAGTCCGAAACTGAACATGAAAGTGTGTGGCGCTATCCCAGGGACCCTAAATGTTGTATCTGAAGAAAATGCTGCAATCAATGAGAATAATAGGTTTACTGAAAGATTTAATTTCGAACTGGCTTTTAATCTGCCTTTAAGTAAATTGTTTAAAGCATATCTATCGGTAACACTGGCGTGACGGGCCGTGTCACGCTATTTTTAACCACTGGAATGTCGCAATTTTTCGCAAAATTAGGGTTGAAATCGGCGTCTTGCGGGCTACTTAAAATCGTTTGCCCAGAGATTTGTTTCGATTTTCTGATAGATTGGGGCCTAGTTAAGCCGTAGAAAGTCAATTTGCGAAATTCTAAGTTATAGCGCATTGTAAAAATTTACATTATTTTAACCCTATAATTTTGAACGGTAGAAATTGTCAATACGGCCTATTTTTAACGATACCTTTTTGACCACAAACTTATTACAGCTTTCATAAATTTATCGCCTTATAATAAAGAAAGGGTCATAAAAACTATTCGTGTTCTTCAAAGGCTGCCAAATCGTTGTGGTTTGACGTACGAGTCAATTGAATTTGTGTAAAATTTCGCTTTACCGGAAGTGGATTTTGAGCTCTGAACGGGCAAAATGCGTTTTATCGAATTTTAACAAAAGAACACGTTATTTGGGAAAACTAACTACGGCATGTTTCATTACTCATTAAGGGTTATCGATGAGCCAAATATGAGCGAAATCAAATTTTCAACTTGTGCCGACCGTGGGTCGATATTTACGGAAAGCCACTCTTAACACTGTTGAACACTGTTAAAATTTGAATCCAACATCTACCATTAAGTCATTTTATGTTCATTTTTTTTTACCGATACGGCGTCCATATTGAATTAATTAGATTTAAGGAGTATTATGGGATGCCGAGGGGGCACGAGCACCATCCCATACACTCACTCAGTATTTAAGCGCGCTTTTCGTGGCAAATTTTTGTGAAAGTTTTCCAAGAATAAGATTGTAATGCGAAAAAAGAACTTTGTGGGAAGTACTTCATGTCCAGCCATCATATAGTTGTCTATATACTTCATCTCACTTATCTTCTGTGGTAGCTTTGCTTACTAGAGAAACTTCTCTTCTTTAATTTAGTTTAGGTGAATACCTTACTTATGATTCTCTACTAACTTGAGTTGTTGAGGTGCTTTACTTACTTTAGATTCTTTGCTTTCCACAGGTGCTTTGCTTACTTGAGGTGCTTTACTTGCTTGAGATGCTTTGCCTGCTTGAGGTGCTTTGCTTACTTGAGGTGCTTTACTTGCTTGAGGTGCTTTGCTTACTTGAGGTGCTTTACTTGCTTGAGGTGCTTTGCCTGCTTGAGGTGCTTTGCCTGGTTGAGATGCTTTGCCTGCTTGAGGTGCTTTGCTTACTTGAGATGCTTTACTTGCCTGAGGTGCTTTGCTTCCTTGAGGTGCTTTACTTGCTTGAGTTGCTCTGCTTACTTGAGGTACTTTACTTGCTTGAGGTGCTTTACTTGCTTGAGTTGCTTTGCTTACTTGAGATGCTTTACCTGCTTGAGGTGCTTTGCTTGCTTGAGGTGCTTTACTTGCTTGAGGTGCTTTGCTTGCTTGAGGTGCTTTACTTGCTTGAGGTGCTTTACCTGCTTGAGGTGCTTTGCTTGCTTGAGGTGCTTTGCTTACTTGAGGTGCTTTACTTGCTTGAGGTGCTTTGCTTGCTTGAGGTGCTTTACTTGCTTGAGGTGCTTTGCTTACTTGACTTGGTTGAGGTGCTTTGCTTACTTAAGGTGCTTTACAAACATATTCTAGGAAAACTTTCGGAACATCAGTATGTGTATTATGGGAGAAGTGCGAATTTGGTCACCAAAAGGCCTTGACTGAATTAACAGTTATAACAAATATTTAAATAATTCTAAATTGAGCGTGATACAGTATTTCAGCCAGAAAACCTTTTATAGAAAAAAGACGAATTTCGTAAAACAAGGCTGTTACACCTGAGTTGCCATGGTAACGTTAAAGTTGACGTACAGGTCCCCTTGCTTTTAAAATGTTCTTAGATTATTTTTTAGGACTATTTGCTAAGTTTTATTTTATAGTTTGAACTATTTGGAAGATATTCAAAGATGTTCCTTGGTCTCAATAACGTAAAATCCAAATCAAAATAACTCAGTGAGTTAGTTTCTATAAAGAACTAAAGAAATAACGAGCAATTTGTTTTGTTCCCTTACTTTTTTCTGTAGCTAAGCTTGATTTTTTTCTTTCTGATTAAGCTAACTGTCGCTCACCTGGTGTTTTAAATCATGGTCTTAAAATCGGTAATAACTATACACACGGAAAAACAGTTCGATACTCTTGTAACCTTGGGTACACACTGGAGGGCGAGGCTGAACTGTCTTGTGTAGATGGAAGATGGAACACTGCCACTCCTAAGTGTAAAGGTTAGCGTTCACTCTTGTTTTTTAAAATAAAAGTTGGAGTTGATTTTGGAGGTAAAAGGGGTTGTTTTATTTGCAACTTTTTAAATTTCGTGACAGATTTCGGTCATGGTTGCAAAGTGAGCTACATACCCCGCAACTTTGAACCGTTTAAAGAAGAATTAACTGGCGTGGGTCTATTCAAGTTGCAGTTACTTAATACCCTGCTATCTTCATTTCTTGTATCAGTTCATTATATGTAAACGACAAAGGGTAAAAAATTAACTTCCCTATAATTATTATAGCTGTTGAGTGTGGTGATCCTGGTGAACCGACAAACGGAAAGCAGATTGTCAAGAAAGGTTACGTCTATGGTGGATCAGTCAAGTTTGCTTGTGACAAGAATTACACTCTAGTGGGGACTGATGTTATATATTGTCAAGCTAATAGGAGTTGGAGTTCCTTTGTTCCACGTTGCTTAGGTAAGTGCCATGGGTAAGAGAAAATAAAAGACATTAGCCTCGCTAACTATTTTTTTCCAAAAAGGTTTTAAAAGGGGTAAAACACAGTTACCTTTCGTGGTCCTTAAAAACTGATCTATACATAAATTAGCAGTAGAAATATTGTAGCTTTTAAAAAGGCAAAAGTTCGACAAAACACGAGAAAACGTATCGTCATACGTACTTAATAAACAGGAGTTTAACCCTAATCTGACTATGCTTTTTTTCCCTTTTCTTGCTTCCTACGACAGGGAAACGTGGGAGACTCTACTCTGTACCTTAAAATTGAATTAATTTTGTTCCAAACCGAGTGATGCTCGACGTACCAAGTCAATATATACACTATTGTGTCGTTCTATTGTGTGGAGTTAATTGTGTTATTGTTTAGGCGATTAGGGATCATTGTTGTGTTCTTTGTGACGTAACTCTAGATTGCTGTTCACTTGATACATAGTGCACCAGCTCAATTAATAACCCGTGTAAATCGAGGAAACCGTGATATTAAATACGTCCTGTGTATTAAAATATGTTTAAAAAGCAAAAAATAAAATGAAATAAAAGTAAAAAAACCGACGTAAATTTAAAATTAAAAGGAAAAAAAAAAAACAAATGCTAGCAATTAACTGTGTTGAACACTGTTGAAATTTAAATCCAACTTCTACCATTAAGTTATTTTATGTTCAAGTTTTTGAATTGGCGATTTGCACATCTGCCATAAGACACCTCGTTTGCCCCCTAAAGTTTTCCATAACTTTTTTGTGTGATTTCTCCTGGGTATTGCAGTTTTTCAGGAAACGAAGACAATGCTTATGCACGTTTTTGAGGACAAACAAGGTGTATTATGGCAGATGTGCAAATGACGAATTTAGTCATCAAAAAGCCTGGATTAAATTAACAGTTATAATAGATATAGGAAATAATTCTAAATTTATTGGGATACAATATTCAATAAGTAAACGTTGAAATGAATTGATCCAATTATATTATATAGTAAAAAGGCAAGTATTGTAAAATAACGCTGTTAAAACCTCGGTTACCATGGTAACGTTAAAATTGACGTACAGGTCGCGATAATTCTAAAATGTTATTTGATCATTTTGAGAAAAATTTCCTAAATTTGTTGTCAGACACGTAGTTTGAATTATTTTGAAGATATTTGGGTCCTTCAAAGCCGCTGAATCAGGTAAAAGGAAAATCGAAATAATTTAGTTATCAACTAAAGACATAACGGGCAATTTATTTCATTCCCTTCCTTTTTTTCTGTAGCTAAGGTTGATTTTTTTCGTTTTTGATTAAGCTAACTGTCGCTCACCTGGTGATTTACATCATGGTCTTAAAATCGGTAATAACTACACGCACGGAAAAACAGTTCGATACTCTTGTAACCTTGGGTACACACTTGAAGGCGAGGCTGAACTGACTTGTGTAGATGGAAGGTGGAACACTGCCTCTCCCAAGTGTAAAGGTTAGCGTTCATTCTTGGTTTTTAAGATAAAAGCTTGTGTTGTTTTTAGAGGAAAAGCGGGTTGTTTTATTTGGAACTTTTTAAATTGCGTGACAGATTTCGGTAATGGTTGCAAAATGAGCTACATACCCCGCAACTTTGAACCGTTCAAAGAAGAATTAGCTGGCGTGCGTCTATTCAAGTTGCAGTTACTTAATACCCTGCTATCTTCATTTCTTGTATTAGTTCATTATATGTAAACGACAAAGGCTAAAACATCAACCACCCTGTAATTATTACGATAGCTGTTGAGTGTGGTAACCCTGGCAAACCAACAAACGGAAAACAGATTGTCAGGAACGGCTACGTCTATGGTGGATCAGTCAAGTTTTTTTGTGACAAGAATTACACTCTAGTGGGGACTGATGTTATATATTGTCAAGCTAATAGGAGTTGGAGTTCCTCTGTTCCACGTTGCGTAGGTACGTGACATGCATAAGAGAAAATTAAAGACATTTACCCTCATTAGTTTTTGCCTTAAAGTATAAATAGCAGTAAGATTAGATGGTCGTAGAAATGTAATTTATGCAAATTAGCGGTAGAAAATTGTAGCTTTTTAGAAATACGCATTAATACTAGTTGTTCGAACAATTTAACTTAGTGTGCTGAATAAAACTGAGAGAAACGCAAGTTAACGAAAGCAATTAATTTACTATGAAATTTGGTGTCAAAGAACAAATCATTCGTTTACCCTTGTTTTTCTGTTTTATGTTAGTTTAAATTCTATTTACTGTATAGTAGTGTCTTCACTGTTATTTAGTCCATCTATATATAAATCTTGTTTTGTAATATATCTTCAGCTCCCCCCGCCTCGATTAGTTTATAAGCTATTTGCGGGTGGGAAAGTAATGTAATTAGTTATTTCCCAATTTTCAATAAAATTTGTTGTTGTTGTTGTTGTTTTTGTTATTAAGAGTTTTCTTTCTGTTCAAATTCAAGCTAACTGTCGATCCCCTGGTGATATAAATCACGGCTTTAAAATCGGTAATAACTACAAGCACGGAAAGACAGTTCGATACTCTTGTGACGCTGGGTTCACACTTGAAGGCGAGGCTGAAGTGACTTGTGAAGAGGGAACATGGAATACTGATACCCCCAAGTGCAAAGGTACATTTTTAAGCGTGCATGAATTTGTATTTAGAGATATATAGCTTGTAACCTGGGACAAGGATCCACAATGGGAAAAAAAAGGAAAAAAAAATGGGCGTGGGGGAAAAAAAAATTGGCGAGCGAGGCGATCCGTAAGGTAGTCTGGGGAGGGAAAAGGTTGGCGGAGCCTGGAGAGATGCCTTTGATGCCTCCGATCCGCCCTCCAGCAATTAACTTGTCATTGAAATGTCAACACTTCAGCATGTCAGCTTATTATCTCGCTTTTGTAAAAAAATATTTGAATTAGAGATGAGGCCGTAAGAGTGCAAGGAAAGAGATCTACTTCACTTCAATCGCCAACTCGAGTACCATCAGCTCCGGCGAAGAGAAATAAAGACGGTTCTGAGGAAAATGCACCGCGTTCGGCCGGTGAAGTACAGCCGAATAGATTCTCAAGGAGATCCCTCAGAGTTCGCATCATAACGCTCGTTTACTTAGCTTCTTATGATGTACCAAATGAAATATTGCTCTTAGTAGAGTTCTTTTTTTCCGCGGAGATAACATGTGTAAGTTTATCACCTTATGCGACATGGACCTGAGTTTTTGGAAAGTCTTGGTAGCGACCTATCCAGGAAATCTGAGGGTTTTGTTTAGGCATTTAACTTGAAGATCGAGGTTATAACAGTTTTAAAAGAGGTACAAAGAAAACTATCAGATAAAGGAACAAATAATAGAATGGATAGTTTGGAGACTCAGGCTTTAATTCAAGAAAATGGCTTTAGGCTGAAAAATTTGCAGGGACTTTTAAGAAACGTGCAACACATCCTATCATAAATGCGGAAGGTACGTGCGACCACGCTATCTTATCTGTTTGCGGTCTTCTTGTTTTCCAAAATAAAAAGTTGTATTGATTTTGGAGCTTAATGTTGTTGTTGTTTTTTTGCAACTTTTAATTTTAGGTAACAAATTTTTGTAATGGCTGCAAAATAACTAAGTCCTCAAATTTTAACTGTCAAATGAAGAATTAACTCGAGTGCATCTACTCGATTTGTAGTCAAAGTTTTACCTAGTATCCTGTGATCTTCATTTCCCATACGTGTTTAATTGTAAAGGACAAAGATAAAAAATTTAGATCCCTTGGAATTGTTATAGCTGTTGAGTGTGGTGATCCTGGCAAACCCACCAATGGAGATCAGATTGTCAAGAAAGGCTACGTCTATGGCGGATCAGTCAAGTTTGTTTGTGACAAGAATTACACTCTAGTTGGTGCTGATATTATATATTGTCAAGCTAATAGGAGTTGGAGTTCCTCTCGTCCACGCTGCGTAGGTAAGTGCCATGTGTAAGACAAAATTAAAGACATTTACCCTCTTTGGTTTTTGCCTTAAAGTATAAATAGCAGTAAGATGGAGTTCCTCTGTTCCACGTTGAAAAAATGATCTATACATAAATGATAAGTAGAAATGTTGCAGGTTTAAAACGACAAAAGTTCGACAAAACACGAAAAAACTAATCGTTATACTTAATAAACAAAAGTTTAACCCTAATTTGACCATGCTTTTTGTTCCTTTTCTGGCTTCCTAAGAAAGGAAAACGTAGGATGCTCCCCTCTATAACTTAAAACAGATCATAACACATCTTCCAAAATTATACCTAATAATGTACTCATCATTTTCAACATCTAGGGATAACTCACGCGATTTGAGGTACTTATGACGTAACATTGTTATGAGTTATAAGCAGAATAAAAATTTTATTATTTTATTTGCCTAGGAGTAACCAAAACGCGGAAAATGCTAAAATAGTGAAATGTTTAAAAAACTTTTAAAGTTGGCTAACACTCGGATAATCTTTAACAGAAGCAGTGGCGTCATGATGACTTTGTTTATTATTAGAGAACGTACTGGAACAACGCCATATTAAATCTGCCATTTTGAATTGATTTTGTTCAGTCAAAACCGGGTGATGCTCGATATACCTAGTCAATATATACACTATTGTGTCGTTTCATTGTGTGGAGTTAATTGTGTTATTGTTTACGGGCTAGGTATCATTGTTGTGTTCTTTGTGACGTAACTCTAGATTGCTATTCACTTGATATATAGTGCACCAGCTCAATTAATAACCCGTGTAAATAGAGGAAACCGTGATATTAAAAACGACCTGTGTCTGAAAGTATGATAAAATAGCAAAAGATAAAATAAAATAGAAGTAAAAATACCGATGTAAACGTAAAATTAAAAGTAAAAAATTGCTAGTAATTAACCTTGTTGAACACTGTTGAAATTTGAATCCAAATTCTACCATTAAGTCATTTTATATTCAAGTGTTTGAATTGGCCATTTGCACATCTGCCATAAGACGCCTCGTTTGCCCCCTAAAGTTGGTGGCTTTGTTTGGAAGCCCTGTAGATTTGAATTAAGTTTGAGCAAGGCAAGTGGTGGGTTGTTTGTAACTGGCTCTGACTACAGATGACAGGGCGGGAGGGAGTAAGGGAGAGCTTGGAAAAAATATGAGACATCTAAATATGCCAACGGCTTTTGCTTACCCCACATCGCTTTGGAGCATTTACTTTAAGCCGAGACTTGCTCAAATTCGAGCACTTTTAACAAATGCTTAAGCCCTGAAGCTAATGCTTGCATAATCAAATAGGTTTATATTTAGCTATATTTGTTCCAAGACCAAAATATCCATTGCGTCTACTTTCTACACCAATAGGTTTGAGACTGATTGGAGGAAGTTGGCCTGGAGAGGGCAGAGTGGAGATTTATTACAACGGTACCTGGGGAACGGTTTGTGACGATAATTGGGATAAAAATGATGCTCGAGTTGTCTGTCGTCAAGTTGGGTATTTGTATGTTGTCAGTGCTCCACACAGTGCACGGTTTGGGCAAGGAAGTGGAAAGATTTGGCTGGACGATGTTCAGTGTCAGGGGAATGAAAGTTCCATTGTGAATTGTCGACGCCGCCCATTGGGTGAGCATAACTGTGGACACAGTGAGGATGCATCAGTGATCTGTTCAAGTAAGTAATAAATAGATTGTAATTATAATTATTATAGCTCCTCTTAGAGTTCAGCCGAATGTCAGTTACAATGGACCCTCTCAGGACTCAGATTCCGAGGCAGAATAAAAAATGCAGTTTTATTTGTTAGTTAATTATTAACAAACCCCAGCCCATTGCCTCCATTTAGAGCGGACACCTCTGTTCATGCTAAACTAGCCTTGGACCAAAGAATTTCCCGATATTTTGGGTGGGCAAGCTGTTGTAATACGTAGTTTGTGTGATTCTATTTATCATTAGAAATAATGAATTCACTGACTATATAATTGTAGACCCATTGGAATAGTTTACATTGTGCAATGGAGGATCTATTACTTGACAGGCGTCACATGAGTGTGACTATTTCAAACTGTTCCACAGACAATTTTTCCTAATCTTATTAGCTTGCAGTTCATAGTATTTCCATTAAAATTTCACCTACGCAGCCATTTGTACAAAGCTCTAGTCACAAGTTAACTACTAAATGATATATCACAGCATGATTTGTGTAATACATAAGGGGCTTTGCAATCATCCCCTCACTCTCACCTTTGATTCGCCACTGCTGTTTAAACTTGATTCAGCGCTAGCATCTTTGAGACTGATTGGAGGAAGTGGGCCTGGAGAGGGAAGAGTGGAGATCTATTACAACGATACCTGGGGAACTGTTTGTGACGATAATTGGGATAAAAATGATGCTCGAGTTGTCTGTCGTCAACTTGGGTATTCGTTTGCTGTCAGTGCTCCACACAGTGCACGGTTTGGCCAAGGAAGTGGAAAGATTTGGCTGGACGATGTTCAGTGTCAGGGAAATGAAAGTTCCATTGGGAATTGTCGACACCGTCCATGGGGTGAGAATAACTGTGGACACCATGAGGATGCATCAGTGATCTGTTCAAGTAAGCGTATTAATAAATAGATTGTAATTCATAATTATTATAGCTTTTATTAGAGTTGAGCCGAATGTCAATTACAATGGACCCTCTAGGGACATCTCCGTATTGAAGGGAAAATTTAGGGGAGTCCCAGGAAAGTGTTCACATACAGAACCTTTTTATTTGTTTCCTCTAGTGAAGGGACCTCTCTATTCTGGGGAAAGGAACACTTTTTCTGGATCCCGAAACCCGGCTTTAAACTCCATTCAAGGGACATCTTAATAAGCACCCAAAAGTTGACTAACGACAAAATTCGTTGATGGGTGATTCAATGTTGCGGACATTACATTCAGATACTAAAATCAACAATTTAAACCCCAATTCAAATGTCAAAATGTTCTACACTGGTGTTCAAACATATCTAGAAAGTAACTTTAGTGTTCCCTATGTACTTAATAGCGAGGGATAAACGAACATCTACTGAAAACCTCAGGTGCTGATGTTTTATCCTCTTCGAAAAATCCCAGAAAACCTAAAGGGAGTGGCATCCACCTTCCACCCCTTGTATGTCCGAGGGTTAAAGTGTTATTTCTTTGAGGAAGGAAACTTATGGCAAAGGATAGATGTGCAGCCCATCACCCCTTGAAGTTTTCCACTAAGCTGATAACTTAAGTATCCAAAAGGCTGGTGTCCATTAATTAATTAATTACTTGTTACGGTGCCGTGTAATCGACAGGGAAACCAAGTTCGCATTTACAGTAAAACGTTTGGTGATCTTATCAGTACGCATGATATTCATTTGGCAAACAATGGTGAAATAAACGACCACAGGAGCCGATCGGCTCCTGACGGTCATGTTGCATAAACAAACAAGAGTTAATGAAGTTTAAGTGGCAATCAAATGATGCATTCTTACAAGTTTTACTCTTTCCCATGGGATCAAAGTCTTGAAACTTGGTGAAATACATAAAAAATATTAATAATTAACAAGCGTTTTTACTTATTAACTGAGATTTTCGCATAACCAACAAAATTCAAGAAGTTTAACCGACTACCGACAAAGATCGAAAATTTTAACCGACTACCGACAAAGTAACTGAATTTTAACCGACAACCGACAAATGGACCCCCCCATTCAGACCCTCTTAATAAACAGATGCTTTAGTGAGCTCTCATGACCTTGAAGATATGAGTTGAGGAAACTGTGTTTCGGACATTACATTTTTAAAAAACCACTTTTTAAAATAACTTTCTTTAAAGATATTGCACTGTGAATTTTTAAGCTAGAGCAGAAAATAATTGTACCTTCAAAACATTGCAATAATCAAATTTTTTAACCGTCAAAAAAAAAATTCCATGCAACCTCGTTCCAATGATGTCTACTCATAAAGTTATATAGCCTCGGTATTGAGAGTAAACTTCTTAACTGGTTGAGGCATTTCCTCACGTGTAGAAAGCAACGAGTTGTTGTAAGAGGGACTTTTTCTGATTGGGCACCTGTGATATCTGGTACCCCACAGGGAACTATTCTTGGTCCAATTTTATTCCTATCATATATAAATGATATCGTTGATAGTGTCTCTTCAAAAATTAAATTATTTGCGGATGACACTAAGATTTACAGAGAGCTTCGCAACCCTAGTCTCGATGAACAATACCTTCAAACTGATTTGAATAATCTTGGTAAATGGGCGAATAAATGGCAACTTCGTTTCAATGAGGAAAAGTGTGAAGCAATGCGAATAACGCATTCTCGTGACAAATCGACTACGAATTATAAACTAGGTACGGCCTTAAAAGATGTCAAGAGCTTTAAAGATCTTGGAATTATTATATCAAAAGATCTTACTTGGAGTGAACATATTAGTACCATGGTGAATAAGGCGAACCAAGTCCTAGGGCTAATAAGACGGTCTGTTGGAACAGCTAATACAACAACTTTTTCATTGCTTTACAAAACATTGGTCAGACCACTTCTAGAGTATGCTGCTCCAGTCTGGAACCCATATCTTGTCAAAGATATTCATGCAATAGAGAGCGTGCAAAGACGCGCGTCAAGATTAGCTCTTAGGCAAAAAAGAGGTGATATGTCTTATGAAGAGCGTTGTGACTCGTTACATTGGCCATCTTTGTCCAGTCGTAGGACATATTCCTCTTTGTTGAATGTTATAAGATCGTGTTTGGCTTATCACACTTGGATTTTGAGGAATTCTTTCAATTCGCAAAAGTCAAATCCACTAGGGCAAATCACTCGTATAAGCTTTATTGTAAATTATCTAGAATCAACTGTTTTAAATATTCTTTTTTTAACAATGTAATTAGTTACTGGAACAATTTACCTAGTAATGTTGTTGAAGCCGGTTCCCTTGAACTTTTTAAATGTAAACTCAAATCCTTTTTAAAGTTGTAATTTTTATTGTAATTTTTATTGTAATTTTTATTGTGTGTTGTTTTTAGGAGAGTTTTATTCATAGGGTTAACCTCTAGACTCTCCCTTTCAAATTCATGTGGTCATTATGAGTTTGAATAAACATGTATGTATGTTATGTATGTTAATGATTCTACAAACAAACGTTTGTGTTGCGGACATTACACAAAAATGTTGCTGACATTACAGTTTGGGAACACATTTTTTATCTTTCACTTTCTAGTCAGTGTTCCTCCCTGTGGCTATGTCAATTTTTTTCTGTAGTTACTTGTCTAAAAATGAAGCTGTGAAATTATTATTTGCTTTATTTAATATGTTCTATTACAATATTATATAATCTCCTGCTGACCTAGTATCATGCAATGCCAGTCAGATTTTTTTCTTCTATACTGACTCCTTAAAATGATTTCAAAATTAATTTTATTACATCTCAAGTAAATGTTGTCAGAAAAGAAACCCTCAGTAGTGAGATCTTTTTTTTCCGAAACTGATTTAGCTTAACTGAAATTATAATTTCTTGTCATTCAGTCTGACTTAAATACAGATAAAATGTAAATCTGCACTAAAATTGCAAATTGTCCACCACATTAAGATTATTACATTACAAATTCTACTTCAAAACTAATACTCATTCAAGAGTGAGTAGAAAATCAGAAGAAGCAATGATTGTTTTCCTCAAAGAGCATACTTAAAACAAACAGTTCTGGGCTTGCTCAACAGTACAAAACCCCTGACCAGCTACTCAATTTCTCCTTTTCCAACCCTCAAAATAAAAATTCATAGTAGTCGATTGTAAAAAAGGTCAATTGCAGTGCTTAAGATAAGCACTGAAAGGTCAAGAAAATTTGTAAAAAAGTTGAAAGAGGATTCTAAGTTGTATGAAGTCTATAAAACCAATGTGTAATGTCCGCAGCACTTTTCAACTTATAATTTTTGAGCAGAGAAAGCTGACCCTGGAAATATTTTGAGATTAAAATAAAGTATACATTAGACTAACTGAGCAGCATCAATAGCACATGAAAATACAGTGAACTGTGTAGAGGAACTGAAAAAAGGTACCTTAATGTTGCGGACATTACGTAATGTCCACAACACAAATTCAATGTCTATTCTCTTAGGAAAGTACCAGTACCTGGATATAATAATTTATGGCCTAATGATAGTGTGAGACAAAGGTTATACACACAAACTTTTGTTTATTGTCATGCTTTCTTAGATGTAAAAACTTTGTTGAAAATTTCCTTCCAAAAATTCCAAATATGATGAGATTCAAATTCACCAGATTTAATGCCTTCTCACATTAAGCACATGGACAAGATGCTCAAGATCTCAGTAATTTCAAATACCCCATCGTCTCAACTTTTTGTTGGTACAAGCTTTATTGCGCAAAATTTTATTTTAAAAAGTTCAAAATTTCATTGTCTCGCGTGGAATTGCCCTGATAAGTTTAAGTGTTCACTAGTCACAATGGCGACAGCTTTCAAAAAATGAACTATCTCACTTGAAAACGATGTATGACACTTGTGAGATTTCAATACAATACATCACAGAAATAATGTATCGGTCAAATCGAAGCTTCAACATACCCCCCCCCCGGGCAACCCCCCGGGAATTTGACTTTTTTGAAAATTATTGTTCAAATTCCCCCCTACCCGGGCCAAAATGCCGTTCAAATGCCCCTCACTGGGGTCCATTCAGGTGATCAAATGCCCCCACCCCGGGGACATTTCAAAGACACAAAAATGACAGAAGGACGGCAGAACCGCCTTCGATTGTCAAACAAAATCTTTATAAATATAACAAAAACTGAGAAACACTGTTAGCGTATTTACTGCGAACAAAATTCTCTTGCAAAGCGGCGGAAATCGCTGCTACAAGGTCACTGAATTCTCAGCTTTTCTTAGTCATGTAACATACAAAGCGTTCTATAAAAAAGATCCTACCTATTATATCTATCATCGCTCACCTTATTAATTAACTTACTTGCAGTTGGTCAAAGTAGCTTTTTATTTTATTTTATTCTATGTTGTTGTATTGAATCGCCAGTAGAGGTATAGAAATACGTTCATACATTCAAAGCCTGAATCCAATATTAAAAATTTTGAAATTTAAATACTTCAAATACGCCACAAAGCTTGTTTAAGGCCTTTCCTCGTAACCAATTGGCCACAAAGGTACAATCTTTTCCACGAAAATCCTCTAACACCGGGTCCCCCATTGCTCGCCACGCCAAAGATTTTACATGAAATCGAGGGTGCAGTTCAAATTCCCCACCCCTAAAGCATGGGGATCAAATTCCCCACCCCCTGGAAAACTCTGATAATCAAATTCCCTCCTCCCCGGGACGGCAAAGGTGTCAAATGCCCGGGGTTTGCCCGGGGGGGGGGGGCATGTTGAAGCTTCGATTTGACCGATACATAAGTTAATCAGGATTTTTTCTCCATTATCTAGATGCTTGAAATAACGACTGCAGCAGATTCCGAGGAAGAATAAAAAATGCAGTTTTATTTGTTAATTAATTATTTACAAACCCCAGCCCAACCTCCATTCAGGGCGGACACCTCTGTTCAGGCTAAGCTTGCCTTGGACCCGACAATTTCCCGATATTATGGGTGGGCAAGCTGTTGTAATATGTAGTTTGTGTGATTCTATTTATTATTAGAAATAATGAAATTACTGACTTTATAATTGTAGACCTGAAACATATAGATGAAATTATTCCTAAGGCGTCCGCGCAAATTAGAAGAGAATTGAATTGAACAAATAGACCGATTGGAATAGTTTACATTGGGCAAAGCAGGATCTATTACTTGACAGGCGTCACATGAGTGTGACTATTTGAAACTGTTCCCGGGGTTTTTTATTTTTCTTACTCCTATTAGCTTGCAGTTCATAGTATTTCCATTAAAATTTTACCTACGCAGCCATTTGCATAAACCTCTAGTCACAAATCGCTTAATTAACTACTAAATGATATATCACAGCATGATTGGAGTAATACATAAGGGGCTTTGCAATGATCCCTGCACTCTCACCTTTGATTCGCCACTGTTGTTCAAACTTGATTCAGCGTTGCAAAGAAAGAATTCAACTGTCGCCATTGCAAATATTTTGCTTTTTTTTGCTTTGAGGGTTTGATATCTGGACTTGATTAAATTTGCGCGGACGTCTTAGGAATAGGACTTCCGTATAATTACAACCACTAAAAATAAATTTGGTGAAATTCACATATCCACGCCAACACCTTAAGATTCCCTCTCTGCCTGTCCCATTAAACTCTCTTGGCTGGTATATCGAGGTGTTTTCACGGACGGTTATATTTTTAAATCAAGTTTCGCAGGGAAATTCAAGTTAAGTTCTGTTCCTCATTAATACGGTAATCGAAGAGGTAGCTGAAAGACGGCCTTATACCGGTCTCTTGGTGGTTGCTCCTTCAAAATGAAAATTCCTACCCTCGTTCTATTACATTTCGCAGTATTCCCCTATTTCTTTGCACACTTAAGTCGAATAGCATCGTAGAGGTTCTGTTCTGAGATTAAACAAAAATAAGAAGTTTTCCATTTTAAAATACTCCGTGTGCATGACAGGATAACAGATGGGGAAATAGAGTTGTTTGTTTTTTTTGCTTTGTTTGTTTGTTCTCCAAAACCCCAATAAGAATTTACCTCTAACTTATGCACTAGCAACTTTGAGATTGATTGGAGGAAGTGGGCCTGGAGAGGGCAGAGTGGAGATCTATTACAGAGGTACCTGGGGAACTGTTTGTGACGATCATTGGGATAAAAATGATTCTCTAGTTGTCTGTCGTCAACTTGGGTATTCGTCTGTTGTCAGTGCTCCACACAGTGCACGGTTTGGTCAAGGAAGTGGAAAGATTTGGCTGGACAATGTTCAGTGTCAAGGAAATGAAAGTTCCTTTGTGAATTGTCGACACAGTCCATGGGGTGTGCATAACTGTGGACACAGTGAGGATGCATCAGTGATCTGTTCAAGTAAGCATATTAATAAATAGATTGTAATTTATAATTATTATGGCTTTTATTAGAGTTCAGCCGAATGTCAATTACCAATGGACCCTCCCGGGACACCTCCGTATTGAAGGGAAAATTCAGGGGAGTCCCAGAAAAATGTTCACATACGTAACCTTTTTATTTGTTACCTCTATTGAAGGGATGTCTCTGTTAAGGGAAAGGAACACTTTTTCTGGGTCCCGAAACCCGGCTTTAACCTCCATTCAAGAGACATTTTAATCAGCACCAAAAAGCTGATTAACGGCAAAATTCGTTGATAAGTTCAAGTGTTCACTAGTCACAATGGCGACAGCTTTCAAAACATGAACTGACTTGAAAACGATGTATTACACTTGTGAGACTTCAACACACCACATCACAAAAATAAGTTAATCAGGATTTTTTTGTACATTATGTAGATGCTTGAAATAATGACTGCAGCAGATTCCGAGGCAGAATAAAAAATGCAGATTTATTTGTTTGTTAATTATTAACAAACCCCAGCCCAACCTCCATTCAGGGCGCTCATCTCTGTTCAGGCCAAACTTGCCTTGGACCCGAGAATTTCCCGATAGTTTGGGTGTGAAGCTGTTGTAATATGTAGTTTTTGTGATTCTATTTAACAAATAGATTCCATTTGGCCGTGCGTCTGTTCAGTTATAGATCACAGATGACGTCAAAATGTGGTAAGAACAGAAAAGTGGCATTTTGACGTCCTCTGTGATCTATAACTGAACAGACGCACGGCCCAATGGAATCTATTTGTTTTATATGATAAAGAAACAAAAATTATTAAAAGCATTTTTATTTCGAAAGAAGATACAAAGCAGGGTCGTGATGGGTTTTTGATGACGTCAATCGTGCATCTGTCCTCTAATAGATCATAAGTAAGGACCAATCAAAATGCATGAATTACTGACTTTATTATATAATTATTATTAGAAATAATGAAATTACTGACTATATAATTGTAGACCCATTGGAACAGTTTACATTTTGCAAAGCAGGATCTATTACTTGACAGGCGTCACATGAGTTGACTATTTCAAACTGTTCCACAGATAATTTTTTCCTACTCCTATTAGCTTGCAGTTCATAGTATTTCCATCAAAATTTCACCTACGCAGCCATTTGCATAAACCACTAGTCACAAATCGCTTAATTAACTACTAAATGATATATCACAGCATGATTGGAGTAATACATAAGGGACTTTGCAATGATCCCCGTACTCTCGCCTTTGATTCGCCACTATTGTGCAAACTTCATTCAGCGTTGCAAAGAAAGAATTCAACTGCCGCCATTGCAAATATTTTGAAGGATTGATTTCTGGACTTGATTAAATTTGCGCGGATGCCTTAGGAATAAGACTTCCGTATAATTAAAACCACTAAAAATAAATTTAGTGAAATTCACATATCCACGCCAACACCTTAAAGGGACTGGTTCACGATAATGCGTATGTGTGAGTTCTGACAGTAGCGGATTGTTTTTAAACCAACCGGAAGCGAGTTAGATGCACGCAAGTAAATTTACAAAATTCAAATTCATTGTTCGCGACGCGAGAGTATTTCCGGACATTTGATTTGATTTTATATATCTCCATAATTCAAGTTCATTCTTTGCTACTCCTCAGATATATGTTGCAGCCGATAAGAATAAGATTTACAGCCCTGTCCTGCTTTGAAACAAACATTTACCAACGTGTATTTTTACGAGGCCGTACCCTCGCTAACAAAGCAGTCACCGATCGGCAAACAAAATTTGTAAACAAACATTTTATTACTGTTCTCTCAGTTCGCCTTATATAAACCCAGAAATACCTACAAATAGCGCCGGACCGGTGACAAAAACACACAACGTATGAGTATAAAGATTAACCTTAATTGAGCATAAATTTGAATTGCTTATCAGCCAATGAACAAATTCATTCGCGTTGCATCGGGTCAGTGTTCCGCAAAACAAATGTTATCGAGTAGCACACATAAAGAAACTAGATTATAAACAGAATATTCGAGCAATAATTTATTTTAAAAACATCAATTCTTAAACATATGCAATCGTAAAGCAAAGATACAAGGAACATTTAAAGTGTACCAGATCGGTAGTTATAACGCAACAGGCCGCGCGATCTTCACAGGTCGGAGTCAAAAATCAAATCAAAGTTGAACGAACTCATGCGTTTAACCACTCTCCAAGTGTCGTGTATTCTTTTCGTAAGCCACACTCTACTCCTAGAACCATACCAGATCAATCGGCTAAGCTTCTCTGTCTCCAAAGACTCTTGAGAACGTCCTGGTGCCAGACGGCCACGATGCTCTTCTGAACCTCCATGATCAAAACATCATTTTTTTGCGTCTTCTTAAAACTTAACCAGTCAAACAACACAACCACACGTCAATCACCACTACAGAAGTATAACTAGGCCAACCAAAGCGACGGATGTCGGAATAAAACGAAGGATTTTCAATGAATGTACCAGTAATGGCGATTTCGAATTTAGTGTTGACCCGACAATTTTTTTCTGAAGAGGCAAACGGCGCGCATGTGCATAACCGTGATCGCGTCCCCTTAAGATTCCCTCTCTGCCGGTAACATTTAACTCTCTTGGCTAGTATATGAAGGCGTTTTCACAGACGGTTTTATTTTTAAATCAAGTTTCGCGGGGAAATTCAAGTTAAGTTCTGTTCCTCATTAATACGGTCATCGAAAAGGTAGTTGAAAGATGACGGCCTTATACCGGTCTCTTGGTGGTTGCTCTTTCAAAATGAAAATTCCTACACTCGTTCTAATACATTTTGCAGTATTCCCCTATTTCTTTTCACATTTCAGTCGAATAACATCGTAGAAGTTCTGTGCGGAGATTAAACAAAACTATGAAGTTTTCCATTTAAAAATATTCTGTGTGCATGACAGGATAGCAGATGGGGAAATAGAGTTGTTTGTTTCTTCGCTTTGTCTGCTTGCTTTTCAAAACCCAAATAAGAATTTGCCTCTACCTTATACACTAGCAACTTTGAGACTGATTGGAGGAAGTGGGCCTGGAGAGGGCAGAGTGGAGATCTATTACAGAGGTACCTGGGGAACTGTTTGTGACGATCATTGGGATAAAAATGATTCTCTAGTTGTCTGTCGTCAACTTGGGTATTCGTCTGTTGTCAGTGCTCCACACAGTGCACGGTTTGGTCAAGGAAGTGGAAAGATTTGGCTGGACGATGTTCAGTGTCAGGGAAATGAAAGTTCCATTGTGAATTGTCGACACAGTCCATGGGGTGTGCATAACTGTGGACACCATGAGGATGCATCAGTGATCTGTTCAAGTAAGCGTATTAATAAATAGATTGTAATTTATAATTATTATAACTTTTATAGAGATACGCCGAATATCAATTACCAATGGACCCTCTCGGGACACCTCCGTATTTAAGGGAAAATTCAGGGGAGTCCCAGAAAAATGTTCACATACATAACTTTTTTATTTGTTACCTCTATTGAAGGGATGTCTCTATTAAGGGAAAGGAACACTTTTTCTGGGTCCTGAAACCCGGCTTTAACCTCCATTCAAGAGACATTTTAATCAGCACCAAAAAGCTGATTAACGGCAAAATTCGTTGATAAGTTCAAGTGTTCACTAGTCACAATGGCGACAGCTTTCAAAGCATGAACTATCTGAGTTGAAAACGATGCATTACCCTTGTGAGACTTCAACACACCACATCACAGAAATAAGTTAATCAGGATTGTTTTGTACATTATCTAGATGCTTGAAATAATGACTGCAGCAGATTCCGAGGCAGAATAAAAAATGCAGATTTATTTGTTTGTTAATTATTAACAAACCCCAGCCCAACCTCCATTCAGGGTGGACACCTCTGTTCAGGCCAAACTTGCCTTGGACCCGAGAATTTCCCGATAGTTTGGGTGGGCAAGCTTTTGTAATACGTAGTTTGTATGATTCTACTTAATAATAGTCTTAATAATGATAGTTTTTATTCAATCAAAGGATAAAAATACATATTCTAAGTTACAGTGAAAATGTGTTTAACAATTATTCCACGAGGTCGTGTTGGATATGAGGTGATAGAGAGCCAACGAGGTGCGTAGCGCCGAGTTGGCTATAATAATCTAATATCCAACAAGCGCGAGTGGAATAATTGTTTTATTAAAAACGCCCACAAAAACTCGTTGAATCTCCCCGACTAGAATAAACCGGAAAAGACAAGGGGCTTCCGCTATTCACATGTCTCACGTCTATCAAAACTGTCAACGCGCGAACGGACTCGCCTGGACTGCATGAATGAAAAATCAAAACATCGTAGCGATAAACACTAGTTTTTTAAAAACTCATCGGGATTCTAGGATTTTACACAGCAGAACAGCTAAAAAAACCTGGCAGATAATGTGAAGGAAAAGAATTTCTAAGTGACAGCCGTCGAAATTACTGTGAATTTGGATTTTCGGTGAAGTTATAAAAGTAAGAACAACAGAGAAAAACTATTACCTCGGTCGCTTGTTATCAAGTTGTTTGAAGCCACAAGCTGGTTTTGCTGAACGAAAAAAGAAGCTATACTGCCGCCTCGATTGCTCTAGTGAATGGCTGCATAGCCTGTATTTGTAGCAGGTTACTTGTGATTTATATTCTTGATGTCGGATAAACAAGCCGCAGTTATCTATCGGTGAGTGACTCGATCGGCGAATGGCTTCGCTATCATGAAGAAACAACACTTGTCTTCTTTTGTATCTGGTCAAGGTAACTTTAGTTCCATGTGTTTTCATGTGTTTTTCGACAAACTTTCAAACAAGCTCTTGTGGCTTTTTTGTTTGATTTTGTCTTTTTTCTGTCGATGAAATTGCATTTCTAGTATTCTGAGAAATGAATTAAAACGATTTGCTTCGGCAACCGTTCTATCCTTCGCGAAAAAAAAATCTCAGCTAGCTTCCAATTTTAAACTGACGCGTACACCGACCATATATGGAGAGCATGGTATAATAGCTCATATACCCTAACGGCTAGGTCAATCAAAATGCTAGAATTGCATTATCCAATGATTCAGTTTTTAATAATAAAAGATACACGATAAAATACAATAGTAATATAAGATAGAATAATGCTATACTAAATTATATTTAAAAATAAGTCTATTTACAAAAGTTTTCTTGTATCTCTCCGTTTTTATCTGAGGAAGGTGACACCTTCTCCTATGCAAATTATATACTAATTCTTTTAGAAAAATGAAATTACTGACCATATAATTGTAGACCCATTGGAATAGTTTACATTGTGCAAAGCAGGATCTATTACTTGACAAGTGTCACATGAGTGTGACTATTTGAAACTGTTCCACAGATATTTTTTCCTAATCTTATTAGCTTGCAGTTCATAGTATTTACATTAAAATTTCACCTTCGCAGCCATTTGTACAAACCTCTAGTCACAAAGCGCCTAATTAACCACTAAATGATATATCACGGCATGATTGGTGTAATACATAAGGGACTTTCGAATCATCCCCGCACTCTCACCTTTGATTTGCCACTGTTGTTCAAACTTGATTCAGCGTTGTCAAGAGAGAAATCAACAGCCATCATTGCAAATATTCTGCCATTTGTTTGCCTTGAGGGTTTGATTTTTGGACTTGATTAAAATGTGTGGACGCCTTAGGAATAAGACTTCATTTTAATTACAACCACTAAAAACAAATTTAGTGAAATTCACATATCCATGCCAACAGCTGAAGATTCCCTCTCCGCCGGTCCCATTAAACTCTCTTAGCCAGTATGTCGAGGCGTTTTCACGGATGGTTTTATTTTTAAATCAAGTTTAGCGGGAAATTCAAGTTAAGTTCTGCTCCTCAGTAATATGGCCATCAAGGAGGTAGCTGAAAGATGACGGCCTTATAAGGGCTCTTAGTGGTTGCTCTTTTAAAATGATAATCCCTAGCCTAGTTCTGTTACATTTCGCAGTATTCCCCTATTTCTTTGCACGCTTCAGTCGAATAGCATCGCAGAAGTTCTGTGCAGATTATTACACAAAACCACGAAGTTTTTCATTTAAAAGATTCTGTTTGCATGACAGGATAACAGATGGGAGATTAGAGTTGTTTGGTTTTTCGCTTTGTTTATTTAAAATAGCAGTAGAAATATTGTAGCTTTGAAACGACAAAAGTTCCACAAAACAGGACAAAACTTATCGCCATACGTAATTAAGAAACGTTTAACCCTAACCTGACCATGCTTTTTTTCCTTTTCTGGCTTTCTAAGACAAGGAAACGTCGGAGGATCGCTTCTATAACTTTAAAACAGATCTTCTCAAACTCATTAATAATTCATTAAGAAAATACAAAGGAAATTAATGTTTAATGAGTGTTTGGAAATCGGATGAAACACTGCTTAGTATTTGCATCCTTAATTTCTCCTTCAAAAATGATTTTGTTTGAGAAGAAATATCAAACATTCGACACAGTGTTTCATCACCAGATGAAACACCTCGAAGTTCGTCAAAAATACTCCGCTGCGCGTCGTATTTTCAACTCTCTTCTCGGTGTTTCATCTGGTGATGAAACACTGCATCTCATGTTTGATATATTACTTCTCAAACTCATTAATAATTCATAAAGAAAATTCAAAGGAAATTAATGTTTAATGAGTGTTTGGATATCAGATGAAAAACTGCTCATTTTTGCATCCTTAATTTCTCCTTTAAAAATGATTTTGTTTGAGAAGAAATATCAAACATTCGACACAGTGTTTCATCACCAGATGAAACACCTCGAAGTTCGTCAAAAATACTCCGCTGCGCGTCGTATTTTCAACTCTCTTCTCGGTGTTTCATCTGGTGATGAAACACTGCATCTCATGTTTGATATATTACATGAAACATACACCAAAATTACACCTAATGATGTACTCATCATTTTCAACATATAGGCCGGGATAACGAACGCGATTTGACGTACTTTTGACGTAACATTGTTATGGGTTATAAGCAGAATTCAATCATCATTTTTTTTGTCTAGGAGTAGCCATGAAGCGGAAAATGCTAAAATAGTGAAATGTCTAAAAAACTTATGAAATTGGCTAACACACGGATAGTCTTTTGCAATAGCAGTGGCGTCGTGATGACTTTTTTTATTAATAGAGAACGTGCTGGAACAACGCCATTAGATATTAAATCTGCCATTTTGAATTAATTTTTGTTCAAAACCGGGTGATGCTCGATATACCCAGTCAATATATACACTATTGTGCCATTCTATTGGGTGGAGTTTATTGTGTTATTGTTGACAGGCTAGGGATCATTGTTGTGTTCTTTGTGACGTAATTCTAGATTGCTATTCACTTGATATTTATAACATAGCTAGAAAATTCCCCCTAATCAAATTCAATAGCGCGAGCGTGCTTCATATTCCTATTGAGCACGCTGATGACGTCAATAAACTATTCGTAATTCCGCGAGTTGTTGTGAGCTTAGCAATCCTGAGTCTCCTGAGTGCATCCATAACTCAGCAATAGACAATGAAGCGTTTACCATGTGTTTTTATAAGGAAATTTAAGAGGAAACGTTTGAATTTGTTGACCGATAGTAAACTCTTACGCCTCTTTCGTGCTCTCCAAACTTCCCGCGTGCTCAATATCTCGACATACACACGCTGACGCATGAACTAATTGTAAAATAGTGCACCAGCTCAATTAAAAACGCGTGTAAATCGAGGAAACCGTGATATTAAATACGACCTGTGTATTTAATTATGCTTAAAAAGCAAAAAATAAAATAAAAGTAAAAATACCGATGTAAATGTAAATTTAAAAGAAGAATAAACTGCTAGTAATTAACCTTGTTGAACACTGTTGAAATTTGAATCCAACTTCTACCATTAAGTCATTTTATATTCAAGGTTTTGAATTGGCCATTTGCACCAATGCCATAACTTATGGCATATGTGCAAATGGCCAATTCATGGTCTTATTAAGACGCCTTGCTTGCCCCCTAAAGTTGGTGGTTGTGTTTGGAAGCCCTGCAGGGAAATTCAAGTTAAGTTCTGTTCCTCATTAATACGGTCATCGAAGAGGTAGCTGAAACATGACGGCCTTATACCGGTCTCTTGGTGGTTGCTCTTTCAAAATGAAAATTCCTACCCTCGTCCTATTACATTTTGCAGTATTCCCCTATTTCTTTGCACACTTAAGTCGAATAGCATCGTAGAAGTTCTGTGCGGAGATTAAACAAAAATAGGAAGTTTTCCATTTTAAAATATTCTGTGTGCATGCCAGGACGGGGAAATATAGTTGTTTGTTTTTTCGCTTTGTTTGTTTGTTCTTCAAAACCCCAATAAGAATTTA